CTGTAGATACGGGGATACTTTGGGCTTTTCAATAGGGCTTTCTCGACCTCGAGCGCTCTCCTCAACTACCTTGTCCCCCTTCTCCTCTTTCTCGGCCACACGCACGTTGGGAGATCCTTTGTATCTTCCCCTTGTGGGGTATCTTTGGGAGTGGAAACTCCCCTCTCAGGGCTGTCTTCTTCGGGTACTAGGCGGGACACCGAATAGAAAGCACTATCCAAGATCTTGGTAACCTTGGCCTCCGCCTCAAATGTAGCTGGGATCGTCCTCGGGTTCGCGATCGCAGCTAGGACCCGTTCTGTGGAAGTGCACACCGGGCACTTGTCTGCAAGAAGTGGCCACTTCCCGCAGAAACCACAAATAGGCATGCCCTTTGAGCCCAATGTTACGGTGAAAACTGCAATGTGTTGTGTTTAATCATGTGGTCCTGTGAACATACAATATATGCATGTTGCATTGTCTATCACCAAGGCACCCAATCAACCAACCCATAACAACTTTCTCACACTGTCGTCCCGGTCGATGCCCAGGAACCAACACTTCCGGTTTCTGCGTCCCGCGCTTGACGTGGATCTTCCGTGTGCCAAAGTCGCCCCAGTAGACATCACCCGTGGTTGAGAGCGCCACGCAGTTTGGAGAATGGAGCTCGGAGGCGAGGGCCTCACAGGCAGATTTCGGTCAAGCAACTGCTTCGGGCCAAGCTAGCTCCAATGACAAACTGGCCATCAGCGGTCTGCTTACAAGGGATTAGAGCAGGAAACCTTCAAATTACAGATCTTCAATACCCAAACAACACCATCTCAGAATTCTGTCTGTGGTCGTCGTCTCAAGTGAGCAGGCAGAGCTGGAATTTGGAGCTGGGATTACTGGGGCTACTTAAAATAGGGATTTAAATCTACTCAATTCCAAGACGCGGATGCCCTGTCGAGAATGCTCAATTGTGCCGACAAAGCCCATCCAGCCACTTTCCAAAGAACTCAAAGCTTAGAATTGACACACAATCTCACATCTAAGTTAAGTATCACATCCACGACTTTGTGTAATCTGGTGAAAGGCCTACTTCGGCGACGGTCGCAGCTTCGTCCCGCGACCTCCCATTATTGTCTTCGCAAAGTGTCAATCCTCTGAGTCCTTCCTTTAACACAAACCGATATAAACCCGATGTCCAGAGTCCCAAGGCCTTGGGCTCTCTTGATGCATCTTCTACGAAGCAGATCTGTCCTGGGCGCTCAGCATTCGGACTTCTGGTCGTGGAGAGTACTAAAGGCTTCTCCGAAGTTTGGGGCCGCTGGTGGTTGGAATGACTCGTTACCCTCAGGAAGCTCCATTCTAACCATTTCTTCGCTATTTGAGCGGATGATCCGCTTGCAAGATTTCAAAAATATGACTCCCCTGCACAGCTTGATGTTTTTGCTGTTTCAAACAAGCTCGGAAGACTTCAATTGTTATTCGCCAATTGACCGGGTGACGGACACATCCATGATTCTGATATAGTCTGGCGAACAAAAATAAACAAAGTAGTTGATTAATTAGCTAATTGGTCAATAACTAATTATGTATATGTGGTGAGTTAATCAACCCTGCAGCTCATCTGCTGTTTCCCCGAACTCTTGAGAAAGGGAACCGTCTAACCGACGGGAGGGCCCTTGGGACCTCCCATGAGCATGAGTGTTGAGGGCCGTGCGGCCAAGGGTCGCAACGAGAGGTCAGCCCACAAGGTCCTCCGCCCATCTGAAGCCAAGGAGCTTCCCGTGGGTGCCTGCAGGCCTGGACTGACGACGAAGAACGAAAAACATTGTCCAGTGAAAAGGTTATGTGTTTGTAACAGTTCAATGCGTTTCCATCCGTGGACTTTGAGTGGAATCCGTTGTTCTTGCCGGTGACCAGCATAAACACCAAGCCCTGGAAAAATGGGTAGAAAATGCATTCTGTTTCTCTGTACTCAAGCTTTCTATACCCTGCCAGGTGGGCTTTAAAGTGGTTTCTATCCCATTTATAGAAGGATATGGCACCAAAGGCTTGCAGGATGGTCACCTGCCTTCTGCCAGCACTTCCACATCACCTCCATCCTGAACAAAGGTGTCCCAAGGGCTGGAAAGTAGTGTGATATATAAGCAGTATGATTGTTGTAGAAAGCTAGATGGGTGCAGGGAAATGTGCCAGATATGGTCCCAAACTAACATATTGTTATAGCTTTTTGGATGAGAAACAAGATATTCTATCTGAAATTGGGGATAGTGCGGACAGAGAGGTCTTGCAGACAGCTCAGGGAGCCCAGGGTCTTGGTTGGTAAGTCGCCCACAGCACCATACAAAGCAAGACACTGCCGACGATGATCGATGCAAACACGGCACTGCATCGGAAGCACTCATCATGACTTCAGTCTTTGTCATTTCTTCAGCAACGGAATCAAAACTTCCTCACACTCTTCAAACCTAGATTGGTTTAGTCACCAATGTTCACCATCCCACACAAGAGCCCTACGCGGCTTTAGTCCGCTAGCAGTCCTGCCCGCAGCGGTAGATCCGCCGTTCCTCCAGGTCCGACCACACCACGCGGCCCGAAGGATCCAAGGCCAAGCCCGAGGGTCTTGCCAAATCCGTCGCCACATCCTCCTGGGATGAGCAATACTGAGTGTTAGAGCTGCAAAAGAACACTAAACAGGAAGGTGGGTGGAGACAAATGGCATGCTCCTCTGCTCTGCCCAAGCTTACTTAAGGTTTTAAAAAATCGTTTCGGGTTTTCTGTGTGGAGACGACAGACAAGCAACCGAATAGATGAGATAGCTAGTGGTTTGATTGGTAGATATATAGCTACCTGTTTGGACTCCCCACAAAATCGTTGTCAAGCAGGATCCCTCATGTAGACAAGAACCCCTGGCACTCCACCAGCTGCGCCGACTTTCAATTGAAAACCTACTTGGACAGCAAGGCGTGACGGTGGTCGAGAGGCTGAAGTAGTCATGATTGCATGGCTGCTGATTTGAAGACGACTTTAACGTTAGAGAGTACCAAAAAAATGAATCAGCAATGGCGGCTGGGGCATCAGATACATGCGGAGGTTCCAGCCCTCAGGCCCCACTTAAAGATTTCGGGCTTCTCTCAAGTTTACCTGAGAAAGGAGGAGACAAAAACCAGCAATCGACAGCTGGTTGGGGAGACCCATCTAGATCCCAGAAGATAGCACTCCTTTGCTGGTGCCTTTTTCCTTCCACATAGCATTGACAAAACGAGCAACATGGACACCACCGCACAAGCCCTTTTCCCCAAGTTCGTTACTTACTGTGCGGCTCCGCCCACCCTCTCTTGGTTGCTGAAGTCCATCAAGCGTGAACATGTCCGATTGTGACAAGCCAAGTCCACATCATCTACATTTACAGACAAATACCGAAAACAAAGTGCTTGTGTACAGACATGTTTGTTCGATACCCCCGTCAGACCGCGGTAGGCTGTCTTTACAGCCGGGCAAGCATAGTCTTTCAAAGTAGTTTCCTTACAGCTGCTCCAGCCTATCATTACAGTAGGTCGGCGGATGAAGAGTGTTGAGTGCCCCTCTCGCAATGGAGCTAGACAAGCTTGTGGTGCTCCTCCCGTGCTCTTCAAGTAAGGTGACTCCAAATATCATCACTGGGATTCCCACAGAGCGACTTCTTGTCACCACTATGCCCCACCACAGCCCCCAGCAGCTAAGCCAGAGGATCAACACATGAGCCATCAATGTTCGCCTCAGGGTGTGTACATGTCGCTTGGGTGGGACACAGCCTTCCTTGTGTGTGCACAGAAACACTGTTTCCAATACTGAGGATCAAACACATGTGTCTGAGCCATCTAGACGATCCAAAGCAAGCTAGCATCCTAAAACAAGCACTATTTGTTGGTCACTCACCATCGCCTCAACACAGAGGCCTTGAAGCAGTGTTCTTAAAAAACAATGAAGGTATATGCTGGATCCATTTCAGTGAAGTTTGCCTTAGGCAAAGCCAAAGCACCCGTTGGATCTTCTTCAGAGACACGTCAATCCAGAAAAGCTTTGCCTGCAACATCAGAATGCACAGCGGTGCATTCAGAGGTGTTCCCACACAATACCAAATAGTGTAAACATAGAAGCTATATACGGCCCCTGTCAATATGGCTGAAGGATGCCTCATAGAAGCGAACGGATTCGCAAGTCGTGAGTGGCCAATGACCTTTTTGTTATAAGCTGCTGTCACAATAGCTCGAGCAAAATGAAATGTGCAAACACATGTCCTATCCCCCTCCTAGCAGGTCCTAGAAGGCGTCTCAATGTCTTTGTTTCTAAAGGTGAAGAGAATCCCCCGCCCCCCTTGCGGCCCTTGCCGTGTGAAGCTTCCGCCCAGGTGCCATGTCCCACCTCCTGCTTCGATCAGCCGCAGTGACATGGGAGGAATCGCAGTGAACCAGCAGACTAATCCTAAGGCAGCTAGAGCAGCTGGCCGTCAGTTGCTTCAGATGAGCCATCCCACCTCCATGTAACAAGTGTGCAAGTCCTACTCAGACATGGTCGACTGCGTCAGTTGGAAAATGGTACCACAACCATTACTCAACTTGCACTGCGTGAATGAGCCCAAATCACAGGTGTTCTGCATCATCATGGTATTAGACAAGCGTTGAGTAAGCTGCGGGTGTTGCAAAGGCAAGGGATATGGCTTGACAAAAAGCAGTCAAAGTGCTATCAAAACTTATGCTTTCCTGGTTTTAGCTTGAAATCCGATGAGCTAATTGCAGCTAATTCGTCAGTGACCAAGCTATTCACGAGTTCTCAATCTTGGGCCCAGCTTGGTGCACGTGAATGAGGGAGCAACCCGCATTGAGTGGTTGCCAGTGATTGCTGGAGACCCATGAATTCATGAACACCAACAACAGCTGAACACAAGTTGCAACCTCTTTCTTCTCCAAAGGTCTTTTGCGCTCTCACCCCCTGGGCCCTAGACATGGGGTGAGCCCCCGTTCACCATGACCCCACATGCTGGGCACTCACACAGCTCCAGGATCTCATCTGAAGGTTCGTTGATCGGGGCTGACCAAGCCTCAATATGTTTTAGAGCACAGCTTGTCGAGCACAAATAGATACAGCAAAATCGACTCCAAGATGCTTTACGAGGGGACAGCTCAAGCACCACTAAAAAGACCACCCAGGAAAAGTATCTAAATGCAATGAATTGCCTACCCTGCAATAAACCAGACCATCGTAATCAGTCTACCAAGAAAACTTGGGTCTGAACATCAGAATTGCCAGACATCCCCATCTTCACTACCAAATCCATCAACACAAACACGGGGTGGCATTCCTCTCCTGCTGCTACTACAACCAGCGTGCCCGCGTACCTGTTGGTCACGCCACCACTTCAATAATCGAATGGTCATCTGCAGTGCATGAGCACGGGTGAATCACAAAACGAGGACGAGCACAGAGCACTTGGCACTCTACACACACTTTTGCATCCTACTACTACTGCGCCATAAAGTCCAGTGGCTGCGGCTACGCAATCAAACACTCCACTCACACTTCAAGCAGAAATGCCAAGTGGAATCAACAAATGTCTGCTTCTCTCTAAGATCTTGATTTCAATGATCTTACCCAATGATACAAATCTCATCTTCGGAGTCACGCCTTTCTACATTGCCCAGCTCTTTGGCGGAACGACCCCGTCTGTGCGACCTTCCACCACCTCCGGTGCTGACCAGCTCATTGCTCCCCCACCTTGGTGGTGCCAGGCTGTTTCGCCACAAAGTGCACCCGTTGTTCAACCTGGGCAGTGCATGCAAATCCGACCGATGAGGTGCCGCATCCCACACACAACCAGGATAATTATTTCTTCTTTTCTCAGGGTGGGGGTAGGCCATGAGGCCCGTGAGGAGAGGTTGCTAGGTAGCTCACAAGTAGCTAAGGGCTGTAAGTGGTAAGAAGCTAGTAGCTAACAAATAACTACTACCGGCTTCTTCAAGGAATATTGATTTGGTTCCCAAAGGAAACTCATGAAACATGTCGGGAGCCTTGCTGTCATAACCATGATGCATGGTGTTTGCGACTTCTCGATCAGGCGTTCCATGGCGTTTTCACCGGATTCATTGATACTATCTGGGAACAATGCTGCTACACGGTTTTACTGTCAAGAGCGCATGTGTGCGCCAGAAGTTGTAAGCCGACAACAGCCACTTGAGGCTCCCGACGAAGGAACATTGGAAGCTTCTCCACGACTGTGGCTGTTGCTTTGCCAAAGCCTTTCATCCCACGGCCATGTTCAAGCTGAGAGTAAAGCTCTGAAGCTGCCAGCACACACGGATTAGTCGACCTTCCAAAGAGTAGTAACAAGCATGAACAAAAAGCAGTACGAACCTTTAGGGTAGTAGCAAGAGTAGTAATAACCTCAGTCCGAGCCCGCGCGCCTTTGCTTGGGCCAAGCTCAAGGCGGGCGCAAAGTGAAGGCCCACCCGAAGCATCGGCAATGACAGGTGGATGGAGTCCTGCACCAGTCTCCAGCAAAAAAACACACGGACAAAGGACATGAATGTCAAACAAGAATTCATGGCCACTATGTGTTCCAGATGTGGAGTGGCAGCGGCCGACATCATGAGTCTTGCATCAAACCAACATAAGGGTTTCAGAAGCAGAGAGTGGGGCAAGAAAAATTGCGACATCTGAAACGCACGGGGAACCACCCCAAGCCCCCATACAGAATGGAAGTGGTTTCAAGAGGACCAAGGACTGCCAATAAAGTCTCCGATCTCCTCGCAAATCTGCGGCTTGTAGCCTTTTGGGCATAAGAAGTTCGCCTCAAAGCAGGCAAGCGAGCAAGCAAGCAAGCAAGCAAGCAAGCCCACCGAACTGTGACGAGATACATGGATACGCCTGCTTTTGCCATGCATATACTTCGCAACCGACGTGACACTGCGCTGAATGCGGGATACACTGTACAAGAGAAAAGTGCAAAGAATTTCAAATGATCCGCTTTGTATCATGCCTCAGTGCAATCATCAAACGTCTACAAAGAAACTCTGACCCTGATCTCACAGGCTTGGAATCGCAAAGAGGTTATATGATGGACTCTTGATCATGACTGAATAAGGATCCAGTGAACTCAGTGAACATTCAAAAGAGTGTTCGGTCCTTGGTTTGTAAATTGAGAGCCCAGCCGAAGCTCTCAACAGCGGCGGCAGCCATTTCTCCCTCACGAGGCTCTCATCCGAAGCATGCAGGAAGAACACCACCTCTCAGCCAATCCGATCCATTCACACAACTGCTGAGTTGCTGAGTGGACAAGAGCGCAGGTGCCCTAGAAAGGACATACTCATACTAGTCTGATGCAATTCAAGACTGGTGAAACTCCAAGCACCTCTGCGTCAGGAGTCTTGGTGCTGGTGGCGGTGCCTTCCGGGCAGTTATCCCCAAACGCAAAATGCTATTAACACCAACTCAACATCAAGCAGGAGTCTCTCTTGCAAATATTAAAATGCTTGGTTTTCAGTACTTATGTTGAAAGTCTGGATAAGCAAGTGTATTGTATAAAGCCACTGATTCATCAACAAATCTGGTGTGATTCTTGTGAGAGCCCAAAACAAAGAGCAGCTAAATTTACTACAGTAAATTCTGTGAGAGGCGGCAGGTGACAACCGAACCTCTCAATAGCCAGTCAACTATGGATGTTACTGTGCCTATGGACCCGACTGTCAAAGTTTATAGCCCTCTTCATGATACATGGCCGGACATGGTAACCCACCGAAGGCATCTCTTCGCATTTGGATCCTTGGACCGACTACGCTTTGAACGCTTTCAAGACATTGTCTTTCGGAGCAAGGCTGGGTCTGTGGATGACCATCTCCTGACGTGACGTGATCTCTCAAACAAGATACGATGCATCTCGGTGATCTCAGATCTCTGTCTTCAGCAAGTGTGGGAGCATCATGCTTTGGCGCAGCGCGCGCTTAGTCGCCAAGCCTGGTGCTTGATCCTTAAAACATTCTGAAGTAGCAATGGATACAAATTGGTCCACGTCGTTTGGAAGTAACATCGCTATAGATCCATATGTTCAGAGCTTCTGCTCTTGGCATTTCCATATCACGTGTCACATCCCTTCGCTTTCATTCTTTTGTAGTGAGGCCAGTCTTTGGGTGGGCTGGGCTGGGGCTTTCCTGAAGCCCTAGCTGCCCTAATCGGCACGTCTCGTCAACGAGTGCTCATGACTAAGACGTGTCACTTCCCTTCGCTCTCATTCTTTTGTGTTGAGGCGACATTCTTTCTGACATCTCTTCTGACATTCATTCTGGCATTCTATCTGGTATATCTTCTGACATTCTCTCCGACATTCTTTCTGGTATATCTTCTAACATTCTTTCTGGCATATATTTTGGCATTCTTTCTGACATTCTATCTGTCTGGCATATCTTCTGACATGATTTCTGACATTCCTGCTGGCGTTCTATCTGGCATATCTTCTGACTCGCGGTTGAGGTACGGCGGCGAACACTGCCAGCCGGAGCTCGCGGTTGCGGTCCGGAAGAGGAGACGGCAGCGGACATAAAATCTAGCAACCCTCACCTGACAGGTGGGAGAAAAAGAGAGTGCTCTCCGTACTCAGTTCCCTCGTAATGCATTTTCCTTCAAATTAGCCAACCGGTGCTGCAGCCCTCCCAAAGCACACCCAGGGATTGACCGCGCCTTTACCCATCGATCCACCTTTCACCACATGGCTGATGTTCAAAGGCAAGATCTGCCAGGCGCAGTCTTGGGTTGACATCCAAGCAGCTCAAAGCCACAGTAATCAAACACTTGACTTTGCTATCCAAGCATTTCTGCTGCTCCAAGCCCCTTGGCCTTCTGAAGATCTTCCACAAGATCCACAAGCGCCTTTGAGGCCTTGCCATGTGATGAGTATGCACTGCGGATCCCATGGTCTAATGCTGCTGCAGAGATGAAAAACCCAGTGAGGGTCGTTTGATTTCAGCCTTGGTGCAGCCAGACAGGTGAACTGCCGCATGTACGAAACAAAAAAAATCCTCCCAAAGTGCCCGAAGGACTTCGCTGGTCTGTCTTGCACTAGGCGATCTTGAATGCTGTGCCTTGGAATTGAAGGCCCGACTGCAAACGCTGTGGTGCAAGTCCAGGTACCTGAAGGCACTGCGTACAGTGCTTCAGTGGCTCCTGTTGAAGGTGAGTCCTCTTCGTCCATATAGTCTTTTCCATTCATGGAGCTTTTCACAATTTAACTGATCTTGGCGAGCTAACTTCGGAAACCCCGAGATTGCCTGTTATGTGGGATGTGCTGCAGTCCCATTCCCCTTGGGATCACCGCTGCTCTTCCACTGCGCGGCACCGGCGCAACTCTTCGGGCGACCTAGGTGTATCAAGAGATCGGAGACACACAGCAATAGCATGCTGGAAAAGGAGTACATTCTTTCAATCAGCGATGTAGTCAAGTCCAAGACCTAACATCTGCTCAGTCCAAAATTGCAGTCACAAACACAGGCAAGCTTTTCGGGTGCATGCAAACACGAAAGGTGACAGGCATCAATCGACAAGACACACTTTGCTGCAAAGGATTGGTTTAGCTAGAAACGACTGCCATGTCTGCCACTCGTCACAAAATGATACAACATCAGTATTTATAACACTGGCAACACTCCTCTGGGCTCCCAGTACCTGTTGAACCTCTCCTTCGGTTGGCTCAAGGAGACTTCCGTGCAACCAAGACCGCAATTTCTTTTTCTTTAGCCCGGAGAGGGGGGTAGGCCGCGGATAGAAAAAGTATATAAGATTATATAAGCTAGTTATTAGGTACTGAACGCTCCTAGGTGGAACGCAGGATAGCTCACGCTTCTTCAAGGATTCCGTGAATAAGCGCTCGCACTATTCATGTGGTTCCTAGATTTTTAGGGCGATTGATGCATAGACCACAAATAACTATATAAATTCAATGCAATGGAATCCTTTGTGGGCACTCAGGCCTCTGCGCTCCGGATCCCAGTTTCTGACACAAGTACCCTAAATCTTTCTGGGAGCTCTGGTTGACTAAATTTAGGAATGAGACACTTTGCCTTTGGCCTGGCACCCCAGGGCACCTCTGGTCTGAGGTTCAGCTGAAGCCTCAAGTGGACTAGGAGCAAGCCAATCATGCAGTGTCACTTGGATGAATCCTAGGTTGGGCTCTGGTTCACAGACACAGGATGCAAAAAGCACCGGAAACAAATTATGCCCCACGCACCAGAAGCTGCAACCCTAATAATCGAATCACCCACAATATGTGACAAAAGGCCCAAAGGCATGCAAGGTACAGTAACCATGATGGGTAACAAGACAAATGTTAGAATTCTGGTAAGTCAAAAACCCTACACTCTACACAAGGCCATGCAAAGTGACTTGGTGGGACCTGGGAGGGATCCTCTTTGGCAAACTTCAAGAAACTCTTCGGATTGAATCCAGCTTGGCCCTAACAGCCTCTAACAGCCAACGTTGCAGGTGTGTAAAAAAGCAACCAATCCGTTTCTCCTTTCAATAGAGTGGCCGGACCTTGACCAGTATGTTGGCAGTTCGGCATTCACAGCATCCTTACAGCCCTCATGACAAGCCCCCTGAGGTGATGACACGGAGACGTGCCCGGCGATTCCGCAAAGCAATGCGCTTGCTGCCGCCTAGCAGGTCCTGACGGTTGAAGTCACTCGAGGTCGCTCAAGATCGCTCGAGATCGCTTCGCATCCAACACAGCCACACCCTCAACTTTGCGGTCACACTGGCGCATGGGATCATTTACTTGCACCACGCAGAACACTTCTTTGATTAGCTTCAAGGGCTTTCTATGTTTGTATCTTCCAGCTTTACAACTAGTGACTAGGAGGAGGAAAGGGCTGTAGCCCAAGGAAATGAGATCCTACCCAAGTGCGTACTCCACTTACATCCCTACAGATAAAAGGCCTCCGCTTGCGCAGCTACGCGTCCTATCTTGCAACCTGATTGACACGTCGTACGCAGCCTTTAGCCCCACGCTCGCAACCTAGTAGCATTCTTGCTACTAGTAGCGATTTGCTACTAGTAGCAATGGCCTCGAACCTAGTAGCGACGGCCTCCAACCTAGTAGCATTCTCGCTACTAGCAGGATGTTGCTCCAAAATCCAATTCGGACCCTGCATTCAATATCTCGGCCCATCGTCAAGAAGCCGAATCGGACCTGGCCTCCAGGCCACTGAGGCCCAAAGCCTACCAAACGTAACGTTACTGTGCTCAATTAAGCTTCAAACATTGACAAGCTATCTGAAACCTGGAAACACGACTAGCTGCCTCAAAAAAATCGATCATGGATCATGTGCAGCTAAAGGAGTGTGTTTTCAGGTCACACTGCAATAGCCGTCCACCCACCACCACCACCACCACCACCGCCATCATCATCATCATCCAAAATAGATGGCCGTGGCGGCATATCTTGTGAGGGCCAGATTCAGAAGTTCCATTCACGCTTTTGACCGCAAGGCACTGTCTGGTTCGCTCCAATCAAAGATATTTCTGAAGCCTATCAAGCGTTTCACATTGTAATAGTCGGCCTACCAAGCCCCTTGCGCCTTGAGCACCTGGGTGGCGCTTATGCCGTGCTTGTAGCAGTACAGCAGACTCAACCTCAAGCAACCAAACGTAGCAACCAGCACAGCGACCATATGCTCAATGAAAAGCTCCTTATCAGCCATTCAATGCAATTCACCATGATGCCATGATGCTAAAGACCTTCACAGCTTCCACAGTAAGCGTTGGAACCGGTCTTTGCCAACCTAGTGCCCAAGATATTGGAATGACAGGCTCCCACCGTTTCTGCAACTCCGGCCTGAATGTTTCTCTCTTTTGGAGATGACCACTACTATGTTGACCAAGACAAATCAGTGAGGTTTTTTTGCAAACATTCAAACATTCAACCACAAGACTCAAGCCACGACTATATACGTCCGCAACCCTTTCCTGGGCATCAGGCTCATCGAGTGACATTTCTCTGGAAGACAAAAGGTCCTTCCAACAGGAGGCCATTACACCCATCTTCGGGACAAGTCTACAAAGTAAGAGCGTGTTGAATCCAAGTCACATGTTGATGTGTTCAGCAGTACAGTGGCGTTGGATACCAATCGAGCCAATGGCACACACCGCACAAATATATAGTTCTGAAGCGAAGGTCTCGCGCATGCTGCGCATACCCATACCTCCTATCACTTCAGGCTTGCACAACACATCGCCATGGCCGTCGGGCATCCAGCTAACGCCTCTTATCTAGAATCTAGGAGCAAGAACTGTTCTTTGATGCAAAAGTCATCCTGCCCCTCTTGGCCAAGCGGTACTAAAAACGGTCAACCAAAGAACTCACTAATGAGGAAACCCGGTCAGAGCCAGTTTCCTTAAGCTATCTAATGGAATTTGGGCTGTTAACACGTGATATTAGTGGGTCCACTAGCGGGTCCTCGAACTGATGGAGCAACGCGTCGGCGGAAGGCGCTGCAGAAAGGACCAAAGAGCTGCCGTCCTGTGGAGAAAAACGATGTCACTCCGGCTCCAAGCGACTCCCATCTTATGGGTCAGCAAAACTACCTCTTGCTAGTAGAAACCAGAAACTAGTAGAAACAAGCATTTCCTGCAAACGTTGTAGACAAAATCCTTTTTCTTGGTTTGTGGCAGATAGAGAATTTTGAAGCCCCTGGTCTCTGCAAGCTGCAGATGCCCTGTCCTGAACTCCACAGCTGCCCAACAGCGCCTCTTCTGGCAGTGCCGTATCCGGTCTGCGCTCCAAGGAGAGCACCTCCGGCGGTTGTGCTTATAGAGAGGTCTTCACTATGGAGATAGAAGAAGACCTGAAAACCATTAGAAAGTCCTTGTTTCTTTTGGTCCATTGGTTCCAATGATCTGCTCTTATAGCGAGAGCTACAACGAAAATCGTTGGATCCAACATGCCCTGCTTTTGAGGAAACAAGCGGCTGGTTGGCAACACAGGAAAGACATATCAATGCTGGTTGGCATCGATTCCCAAGACCTGCCTGATCGGGAAAAGGTACCAAAGACACTGAGGCAATGCGCTCCTGTCATTCGGAGTGAAGAGTGGACCACGATTCCCTTACGGAATACAACCCTTAGGGAAATATGCAAAACTTTAGCAGCAAACTCCATTGGGAAAGCTTCGATGGCAAGCTACGACCATTGTGATATGTCCCAGTCTGGATTGAAAGCATAAAGGAGTTTTGCTGAAGTTCGATACCCTCAGGTTCCTAAGCCAAGTACTAGCAAGGTCTAATTTATCCACAAAGAAAATTGCGATGTTGCATGAGCAAGAGCTGATAGGGACCCAAGTGAAGGATTGTTGTCAAAACAGCATGAGACATTTAGTGAAATGACTCACTTTAGTAGTATCCCAATTTGGACCATCCCTCGAATAGACCTACAGAGAGCACAAATGGCTGCCATTGTTTTCTGTTCACTCGCCTTGAGCGAGGCCACAGTATCATTGGCACCTGGCAGATGGGTACTTTACACTGACACACAAAAGCTAAGTGCTCTACTGTTCACCTAAACTCTGGATTCTACGGCCAACAACAAACAGACTGGCGCCAGGAGGTCAAGCAACAAACTGAAAAAAGGTTAACCCTCACCTTCAACTGCAATAACCGAATACATCCGCCTACCACGAGATTGAGGGAGCCATGGTCAGCCAGCCCACCCAGGTCTACAGTGACCTGGCGCCACAGATCAACTCTTTGACCAATCACGAAGCCTCTCACGATTGACACATTTACTATTTGAGGCTCACTTGCTGTGATGTCAGACCCTTCCACAAACGCACAGCAGAAAACAATGTTTAAAAAACTCAGAGAATTGTCCGTTATTTGAAGGTGTTTTGTTGGATGCAATGTCAAATATGAACAAATCGCGAAACTTGCAAGACAAAATCCAAGACATATTCCGTCCTTCACCTTCATGTTCATCTGTTGATTGACCCTGGCAATGGTGATAAACACCCACTCTCAAGGTACCCACTTGCCCAACTTAGCGATTTTCCCAAGGAACAAAATGCTTTCAACATTTGCAAGAGATGCCAGTTTCACTTGCAAGACACAGAGTAGACAGGGGGTCCGCTCGTCCACAGGCAATTAGGTGTAGGACCATTCATACCAATGATAGCAAACGGTCGATCAACTTCGGAGCGGCCAATGGAAAAGAGATGCATGTATACAATATATATATATATAATTATAGATATATAGTTGCTCAAACTGCAGAAACTGAGCAACAAATTTAGTTAATCATATCTGTTCAGCACTGAGTTGGAAATGCTATATCTCAACACAATCCACCCTCTCAATATGAGCTGAATTTCTTTTTTGGTTCAGAAATTGCGATGAAAATGCAAAAAATACAAAATGCGAAACATGGAACTGTCAGGTTGCAAATGAACCCTTGCGTTGGAGGATCTGGCAACTAAAATCCCGCCTCTCATCTATCTGCTCACACCGTGGACAGGTTCGGTAAGTTGGATACGCTGCGCAAGTGCAACGAATTTTGACTTTGTCTGTGTGTTTTTCAAAGCGTTAGTTCCTCTGAATTAGCAGCAGCAGCAGCAGCAGCACCACGACCACAACACAATGGAACAGTCCTCAATTCTTTGCTGGCACGGATCTGTGGTTCCATTGCAGTTTCAGATTGTGTTTCGCCGTTCAAAACATTCAGGTCTCAAAACACTCAATTCACAGTCAGCATGTCTCGCACACAATGTGTGTATGTACAACACACAACCTTTCATTTTGCTCCCAGTGATCAAGCTGTTGTTCCAGCACCCCTGCCTGCACCAACAAAACATGTTTTTCAACGGCGGACAAAAAGTTGGCAACAGAATGAAGTACAGGAGGGGTATTTGGATTGGTCGTCAAAAAGTCACATTTTTTGCGATGCCACTTTTGGTTTCTGTGGGAAAGAAACTTTTTTTGGCGATGTGCTGTGCTGTGAAAGCAAAACATCCGTTGGTCATTGCGGCAACAAACCAATGCCACATGGCAGGACTGCACGACCACTTCTTTGCAACCTGTGCGCATGATTGTGAGGCTGACATCAAAAGCCACTGATCGTTTGTTTCAATCAAAGCGCCCATGGCCTGTCTGCACTGACACCTACACACACATGGCTCAACTGGACGGTGCTCTTCCATGCCTGCAGGAATCTTTCGGAGCCCCACATGGCTTGATGATTTGCATCAAATAAGAGATTCGGCGGCTGCGTGTAGCATAGCTTCCCGTCGCCCAGCACTGCCCTCTATCCAATTGCATCTTGTGGCCGTGCAGAGGCCACCTTTATGTCCTGACTCCTCCCCGTCAGGGGGGGACGGCACCCTGCCTTCCGCGCAGATGAGTATCGACGACGACCACATAAGCCTCAGTGATCAGCTGTCCTCCTAGATTGACTTTGAGTGCAATCCCAGGAGACTTCACAGGCACACAAACCTGCTTTCCGAAAGCAACACCATGGGGGGGGGGACATCGTGGCCTTGGCACTTGGTGAATCCCTGCTTGCAAGGTTGTCGCGATTTCCCTTCTCGCATAGACTGTCCGCTTTGCCATCGCTCGGATGTCGGTGAGCCGACATTCTATGAGTTACGCCAAGCTGAAGCTCTTTTGTTAATTCATCCACGCCCAGAATCGTTTCACACTGAATTCATTCAAGTGCACGGAGAAAAAACCTCTGAGAGATCAAAAAGATTTCCTGGTCTGGTCGGTCTGGAGCTATTTTTTGGATGTTTTTTGGGTTTGGTGTTTGTGTTTTGTTGTTTTTGTTGGTGGTTTTTGGTCTTTGACCACAGGAAATCTTTAATATCTTCAGTAGCTGACCTTTGCATTCTCTGCGATGACTGGCAGCAATACTCGTGCAAAAGAACAAGTCTTGCAAGGCTTTTGGGCGCTCGCTTGCAAAGGTCCGCTGACATGCAAAAGGTCCAGTTGACTGGGCAAGGTTTGCAGGAAACATGTGTTTTGGTGGAGTGGTTGACTGTGGAAGACCAGTCCAATCTTCAGGCAGGCAGAATTCTCTTTTTACGCTCAGATTTTGTTTGAATGCCGAGTTCTTAGCTTCACTTTTGGTGGAAGTCTCACACGAAAACGCTTGTTTTGGAGACTCGGCGCTTCGCTTTTTGGAGGAAGTCTTGCACGAAACGCTGGTTTTGGAGACTTGGCGCTTCACTTTTGGAGGAAGTCTTGCACGAAACGCTCGTTTTGGAGACTTGCCGCTTCACGTTTGGAGGAAGTCTCGTGCGATTCTCTTGTTCTTGCCGTGTTGAACTTTTTTGCAGGAGAAAGAGTTGGGAGAAGCAGAAGGGGAGAGAAGGTTGGAAGAAAGAAAAGCGCGGGTGTCCTGAAACGCGAAGTAAACGGAGGCCGTGGAGGCCGTGCAAGGACACCTGTCAGAGTGTGTGGAAGCCACGGACCGAGTCTTTGCGTTTTATGTGTGTATACACACCCACTTTGCGCTGCTTTGGCACAGTGAGGATGCCCTCAAGTTTGGAAAAGGGCTGAAAGAAGGACAGCGGAAAGAGAATGGCATGCCCAAAGCAGCGCCACGTTTGGCTTTGGAGCACTTCCTACTTTTGGTTGATTGGTCGAAGCCATTGTCCAACAGCCCAGGCCAATGAAACGTTCACTTCCCAAGTCTTTGCACAGGTTTACCAACGCCTTTTACAGGGTTGCTGTACATCGACAGTGACCAAGGTCACCGCCGACGACGGAGCACCTGTGGCAAGCACTTCACTTAGAGTGAGATCCAACCCAGTGCACTTCAACAGTGAGGTTCTCTGTTGTCTCGTTTCAGTTCATCAAGAGTTTCCAAAAAGCAGACTCTTCAACCCAGCAGGTTTGTCTCGCGGGCACGCCGCCTCCACGGCCGGTGAAGGGAGCGGTTCCAGGCAGCCACAGAGCCCAGCCACAGAGTTGACAGAGTTCAGGGGTGGACGAGGACAAGAGGAGGACAAGGCTTGGACACAGAGCCCAGCCACAGAATTGACAGAGTTCAGGAGGACAAGGCCTGGACACAGAGCCCAGCCACAGAGTTGACAGAGTTCAGGGGCGCGGCCAAGAGGAGGACAAGAGAGGTTGGGATACCGCAATGCATCCATTGCGTCTTCCGCCACTTCCGCCTCCCAGCAGGAAAGAAGGCCACGGTCTCGCCGGTTAAACCGATGGCATCAGCAGTCTTCGTCGAACTTTGTTGTGGCCGAGATTCATGTTCGAGACAGGCATGCGTCTCGTATCTTGGATGCCATGACCGTCTTCAAGAGCCCCCAGTTCCCTATCCCCAGGTCCCTGCCCCCCAGTTCCTGTCCCAAGTTCCCTGCCCAGTTTGCTGCCCCCAGCTCCCTGCCCCCCAGTTCCTTCTCTGTCCCAGTTCCCTGCCCCCAGTTCCCTGCCCCCAGTTTCCTGCCCCCCAGTTCCCTGTCCCAGCCAGTTCCCTGTCCTCCAGTTCCCTGTCCCAAGTTCCCTGTCCCCAGTTTGCTGCCCCCATTCTGCCCCAGTTCCCTGTCCCAGTTCCCTACCCCCAGTTCTCTGTCCCAAGTCCCCTCTCTGCAGGTCCCTGTCCCCAAACCATTTTTTCTGCACGAGTGGAGACGCCATGTGTGCGGTGTGCACAGGTCATCTTTGCTAATGGTTGAAACTCCGCATACTCTGAAAAACAAAACCAGGAGAAACAACAAACCAAAAGACCCCCAAAAAACCAAACAAAACCGCAAACCAAAACCCAAGAAACACGCGAGAACAGCGGAGTTTCGTCTCTGTACATCAACGGTGAGACATGGTGAGAAGAGGGAACTACGGCAATCTGCTACCGGGGCCACGAATTCAAATTGGAGCTGCTGTCAATGTTCAGGCGAAGAGGCATGGCGCGACCGGCCTGTAGGCTGACCGGCCGAATCACAAGCACTTGATGGTGCTTAAGTTCTTTTTCAGCTTCCTACTGTGAGCTATGCCGGAAGAGTTCCCTAGGACTGCAAACATTCGAAGTTCAATGTCCAATGAGCAATGTGGGTCAGGCCTTGGAAAACAGCTTGGTCCTGGTCACAAAAGTTCCAAGCAATTGCGAACTGTGGCCTATGGCGGGCAGCATGCCAATAGTAGTCATTGCATTCCGGTGCGCCTTTCGGCGCCTAACGAAGCTCCCTCTGCAGAGAGAGCAGGTGAGCACATTCAAGCAAGCTCCTTAACAGCTAAGCCTACGGGAACCCAGCAGATGTGCAATGTGCTATCATGGGGATAGCAGTTCGATCATTCGACTCGCCTCCTTCGTGCATGGTTGGAGTGAAACTTGGTGAAACTAGGAAAGCTACTGTGGTGTCGTTTGCCCACTTTGTACAGGGTTGGCTGGCCGCGGACCCTGATCAGGCCAAGAGCTAAGGCTCTCACCTGAACGCCAACCACCTATTTGTTCCTACCGTCGCGTGCTGGTACGTGCCGAGAACTAAGGTTCTCAACCACGTCAGCTCACTAGGCAAGCACAAAGCTGGGCAAGTTGGTCCCTGAGCAGTGGTGACTTCTCTCCTTTATGTGGGTTAGTGAGGGCAGTCAGATTGCGTTACTGTGCTGCACTTGTTTTGGCCATCTACGATGTAGCTTCGTTGAGCTCAGGCTGCGTCCGTCACGTATCCAAGATCCGGAATAAGGTGCAGCCACTGTGGCTTACGCCATCTAGGACAAATTGCGAAGGCGGTTTCTTCAGCATAGGTCCCTCTCCACGCGGTTCGTTGGCCTGGCATTCGCGTAAGCCTTCTCAAAACTGTACAATCAAGGAAGGCCTTACAGGCAATGTAATGAAGCGATGGCGGGATGGCTAGCTCTTGCAACGCAGCACAGTTCATAAACGCTTTCGAGTGTATAGTGTGAGTTGTATATGGGAGCAGGACACTCTGGAGCACCACACAATGTGCAAATGTAAACTCTCGGATCTCTGTTACAGTCGTTTCTGATATGTCAACTTGAGAAAGGAGTTTGCAGTTGTCACAGGCATGGGCTCCCAGTCTATAGAAGTCAGGTGGTAACTTGAGGTCACTCAATCCTGTGGAGCGGAAACATCCCGTCGGGAGCTCTCGACTCTGGACAGATGTCAATGACTGCGGCTCTTCAACGGCTGGCAGTATGGTCACAGCAGCCAAGTTGATGCACGAGTCGAAGAGATAGTGGCCTAGTTTTGTTGCACCACCGAAGGTGTTGACTCCTCCTTTGGCATGAATCTGCTGTAGCGAACAACAGTCAGCAAAAGCCTTATAACCGAAGTCCGTGCAGCCTACTGCAGTTATGCTGTTAAGCCAATGACACCCTCGAAAGGCACTTTCGTCCATTCGTACTACTGTGTTTGGCAGCTTCACAATACGAAGTTGACGACAATTTTGCCAGGCTAGTGCTCCCACGGTGTGTACGCCTTCTTCGACTATGACATGGCGAAGGCGTGGGACTGCAAGAAAAGCACTAGCGGGGATGATCCCCGTTTCACTGGCCGGGACCTTGACTGCTTTCGGGTAATCTCGATAAGCACACTCTTCGAAGTCCTCTTTGGATTGGAACGTTTCGATGCACTCTCGAACTACGAGGGTGAAATGTTTATTCTCTTGCAAGGCGTCCCAAACCCGGTCCTGCAAACATTCCTGAGTGATAGGATGGACAATGTCTAGTTCACTGCCAAAAACATCCAAGTCTGAGACAGCAGCTAGGTAGTAGTCAACTATGTGCTCTTCGAAGTCTTCAAAGATGTCGAACTGAGCAATGTTGGTTGATACAGTGATTTCATTGCCTGCCATGGTAGTGAGTCGAAGCTGGCAGTCCATGGTTGCTTCGCTCTCTACAGATGTGCTCGGGTTGGAGGCAAGGGGGGGTTCCATCTGAAAGCCAATTTGAAATCAGGTCCGAGGCGAGGGACTAGCTTGAGCCAGCTTGCCCTAGCGGTGTCAGCTTTCACTTGCGCTTCTATCGTTGGTTTTTCAGCTTTGGCTAGTCGGAAACTATAAAACAACTCTGGTTCAAAAGCGCAAAAGAAACTCAGTGCAACATGCTTAGAGTTCTTCGGGGTGACCCATCTTACGAACGTCTCCCTTTTGCCTAAGACGAGAGCTAAGGCTCTCACCAGGGCACAAGGTTGTCTGTATTGCTTTGTTCTCCTGCGTTGTTTTCCTAATGAAGCCCTCTGCGTAGTTCTTCGTCAAAGGCGTCAGAATCGATTTCTTCCTGCGGGAGTAGCTTGATCCACGATGGGCGTGTGAACTTGTCACACGGCATAAAGGCATTGTTCTCAGCGTAGGGTCCCCGCCACGGGCGGTCTCATCTGTTGCCCTGCCTCTGTTGTACTTGCTGCTTCATCCTCACTTTCCTCCACGTGACTATCAGTTTCAGCTGCCTCTGCAGTCAGGGTTTCCTCGGCAGTGTCACTACTAACCGATATGGCCGCTTCCGACTCGCCCGTCTCCATGGCAAGGGCTGCGTCATCGGTCTGCTCGCCTTTGGTTTGCACTGGACTTTCTACCTGTTCATCACTCTCCTCAGTGTCGCCATCCAATGTTATCTGGATGGGTGAGTCAGCTGCCTGCGCCGGCCAGTAACACCCTCTCGTGAGGAGACCTTCACGAGGAGGAAGGACCAGTCAGA